GGGGGTGTGCCGGGGCCTTCCTCCGGGCACACAGACCTGGAGCCGCTCTCGCACGCGCCTCTGCTCCCAGGACAGTGCCTCGGATGTGGCGATGGAGCATTTTGCAGGGCACCTCCAGCCTGCTTCCCACCTTGCTCGTGCCCTCCCTCCGCCGCAGGGCTGCAGGCTGCTCCAGCTGCCCCGTGCATCCCTGCCTCCAGCACCGATCCCCCGCGCACGTGCACTGGAAACCATCTGGGCTGGCAAGGGGGTACATCTGAACCAGTGCTCGCTCTGGGCAGGAGCAGCGTCAGCGTTCTCCAGGAGGTGATCAGACAAGTTGGTTGCCCATGGGGCAGACAGGACAAGGATGAGCACTGGGTGGGTGAGGACAGCCCTGAGGCCAGGAAGGAGCTGAGAGGGAGCAGGTGCCAAGCAGGGGGACCCAATGTTAAGGGTAGGTGGCAAAAGGTGGTAGCTGTGCTGGTCCCCGGCCAAGAAGCCTGCTGGAGATGGAAGGTAATAGTGGGGAGAGGTGCCCTGGCTCTCTGCTCCTTGGTAGCAGAAGAGACCAGCCACCCTTGCTTTGCAGTTAGGGGCCTTGCCCTGCTCTGGGGTTCAGGGCCTCCAGCGCTCCCTGGGGAACCTCATCCTGGAAGCAGTGGGACAATGGTCAGGGACAAAGCATGGAGGCTTTTACCAGTGAGTGGGAAAAGGGAGGGTTGATGGATACAGCTGGGGAAACGTGCCACCTCCAGCGCTGCCCATGCCGTGGAGCGCAGGAGCCTGCCCTCTTTTGGGGCCTGGCCCCTTGCTCCGGCCACCCTGAGCTGACAACACCTGAGTTGGCTCCGGTCATTGCTCAGAAAAGTGCTGCTCCTGCCCTTTTCACAGTGAAACCAAGAGTTTCCCCTGCCTGGGACCTCCCATGGTCCTTGGGGAAGATGGGGAGCAGGCAAAACTTGCACTGCTTCCCTCCACCCTCTTCTTCCTCCCCTAACTTTCCCCCACAGCCGGGGATGCGTCTGCTCAGGGACATGCAGAAGCCAAACCCTTCTGATTCTTGCCAACCCCCCAGCTGGCCCTGCCAGCCCCATCTTCTCCTGCAGAGCTGGGCAGGGGCTACACACTGAGAAACGTACTCAGGGTGCAGAGCATCCTCCCGTGGGGGAGCAGGCCTTGACGGTGACCACCAGTGCCTCTCTCCCTGCCTGTAGCATCCCCATCGCCGGGAGACACTGCCAGCATGGACAGAGGGAACCAGAGAGCTGCGGGACGGGGGTGGATGCACACAAGCACTTTCCCCTGGGCACACGAGTGTGGTGGGACAGCAACTGCTCCAGCAGCTGTCGCTGGTCTGTCCCCCCACCCCAGGTGGGTTTAGCTGGGGTGGGGAGGTGTATGTGTGTGCGTGCATGTGTGCACGCACCAGGCCAATGTGCTACAGGCTGAACCAATTACAACTCTGTAAAAACAGCAGCCTAAGGAATCCTGTGTCAGCACTTTTAGGGGGACCAATGCTCAGAGGAGACTGGGCTGGGAAAGCAGGGAGTCACCAAATAAACCACTTATTTCACTGCATGAAAAAAAAAAGCAGGGGAAATGCAAAAGGCAGCAAAGGAACAATTTTGCCCCCCATCCAAAGGCTGGACCGTGCATCCCAGCTTCTGCTTGCAGGACAGAGTAGGGTGGGGAGGCTGCACCCCAGGCTAGGCACCAGGCAGGAGGACAGGGACATGGGTGGACACGGTGCCCTGCAGGGTCTGGGCCCAGCCAATGTAAAGCCCATGGGCACTGTGATGGGCCTTGTCCAGGTAGAGGGTGCTCTCAGCCTCCTGGCACACCTGCCACCCAGGTGCTCCCATACCTGGTGTGGGTACCCCAGCTGCAGGAAGGTGAAGGGGAGGGTTGAGAGTATGCAAGGGCATATGGGCACCCCAGTGGGTAACACTGTCACCTCCACAGCACAGGTCGGGCACAAGCAAGCCCCAGAGAAGGCCTCACTGGTGCATTTTGCGGAGCCCAGGGTCTGCCCCCTTCCGCCTTTCCCATCACATGCATGTGTCTCAGTGGGCTCCCCTCCTAGCGCGGGGCAGACCCCAGCACTGTCGAGTTCTGCCCTGCCAAGCTACCAGGGCCAATGCTGCAGTCATTTCCGTCCTTTGTGCTGATGCTTATCGGGAAAGTGCCTCCATCAGCTGCAAAAAGGCAGCCAAGGAAGCAAAGCTCAGCAAGGGCAGGGCTCGCTCTCCTCCCAGTGCCCTCTGCTAGGGCTGGGTGAGCACAGCCAGGAGCTGGGTTGCTCTTCTGCCCCAGGTTCTCCCCAGCCAGCCCTCTGCAGTTGGGCCTTACTAACCCCCTGCCCCGATTAAAGCAGAGCACGGAGAGGCTGACCCAGCCACTCTTACCTGCTGCCTGGGGTTTACCCGTGTGAACATGATGCTTGCCTCGGCTCTCTGAGGGTGGTGCAAGTCACATTGAAGCTCTCCACCAGCCACAGAGCAGTGGCTGAGGCTCTCACCATAGGTTTAGGGGTAGAGGAGGGCTCTGCAAGGCCAGAGAGAGGCGGAAAGGAAGGGGGCAACACGTATGAAATAGTATAATTTCAGCATATTCAACGTCAAGAGATAGCAGCCAAGGTGAGCATGGTGGCCTCACCACCTGCCTAGGTGGCACAGGCTGGCCTAGCCCCTGCCTCTGCACAGCTCTGCTCCATGAGAGGCTCTCTGCCAGCAAAGCCAGACAAGGTGTTGCCAGAGGAGTCCAAGAGGCAGCAATGGGCATTTCCAGGTGTTTGGCCCTCCCCATCTGTCCCACAATCAGTGCTGTGTGAGTCAGGTTAGACACCATCTTTCTCAAACAAGCCCTTGCCTTGGCTGACTGCATGAGGAGCGCTATGTCTTACCCAGGAGCTAGATGCAGCTTATCTCCCACCTCACGTCCCCATGGCTGTTGAGCAAAACCCAGAAAGTCTTGTTAATAAGGGACAACCTAGGCCAGACATACAGCTGGCAGGGGCAGATGCCTGAAGCCCTCCAGCTGGACCCCTGAGCAGCGACCTCCCACTTAGCCAGACCACTCACGTAGATGAGCATGTACTTTGTGGAGATCTGCCTCACTCCGTCCAGCCTGGCTATGCAGAAGAGTGAGCTCGCATATGAGGGCCGCATATGAGTGGTGGATCATGAAGCACTTTATCAGGAGGAAACTTGCAGTGCAACATCACCCAGACCAGCAGGCTGGTCACCTGGCATGGCAGCAGCATGGGGCGGTCAGCATGCAGCTGGAGCACCTCGTAGTAATCCTCCATGGGAATAAAGAGCTCCTGGGGGTCTAGAGAGAGTTCCCCAAGACTGGAAGCCTTCCTCAGGGTGGTGAGTCCTTCCAGTACCCCTTGCTCACCAACCTGCTGCCCCCAGGTAGCCCCAAAGCCCTCAGTGAGGGCATGAGTTCCCAGCCAAGCTCCCCGTGCTCCTCCCAGTCCCAGTGCTGCCTGCCTTGGTCCTGCCCCGCCATGCCCACCTCCAAAAGAGCGTGCATGCTCTCAGTGCGCCGCAGAGCTATATAAGGGCACAGGGTCTCTCCTTGACACCTCCCAGGTTGGAGGAGCTCTGCAAGGAGCCAGTAAAACCTCCTACAACCCACCGAGACAGCAAAGCACTAGTTCCCCCACTCTCCAGCGGCAAGGTACCCAGAGCCAGCAGCTCCGCAGCTTGTCAGGCTAACGAGAGGGCAGAGCAGCTCCCACACAGCTGGTTGGGCTTCTCGGGCCATGTGCCCCACCTCCCAGATGGAGGTGAACACCAGCTGAGCTGGCAGGGAGCCCAAGGCAGGTGTCCAACCTGTGAAGAAGATGAAAGTTTTGCCCATCCTGTCTTCTCGATCTCAGCTCCAGGTGTCGAGGCACTGGAAGGACCAGCATGTGTACTGGCCTGTGTCCATGGCTGTGGTGTTCACCACCTGCAGCTGGCTGTGTTTCTCAAAGTGCTTGATCCTGGAAGAAAGCAGGGATGGACCGGCTTGGCCAGGGTGCCCGAAGCAAGGGGCCTTGTTGCAGCTGGGCAGGCAGCAATTCACCCAGGGTGGGAAACACCTGGTAACTGTGGGACAGTTCTCATTCACAGGCCAGGGATGGAGTTATTCCCCAAAATTTGGATATTTGTGAGCCCCCTTTAATGCAGGCAAAGCCAGAGGGGTGATGGATGGAGTATACAGCTCTGCTCGAATGAGGGGCCATGCAGGGGGCCTGTTATATCAAATTGAGCTCAAAGTCACCCCAGGATGCAATCTCAGGGCTCTGGGGACAGTGGGGGTTAGACAGGGGACCTCCACCTCTGGGCTGGGTGGGGCCACCCCAGGAAGCTGGGTACGCCAGGCCAGTCCCTGCCAGCCCTGCTCACCTCAGTCACGGCTGCTCCTCGTCCTCCAGGTGGGCGGGGTAGCTCCAACACATAGGCCTCTCACAGCACCGCAGCTCCAGCACGTCACCCACCTGCAGTGCCAAGGCCTCAGCCACCTCCTGAAAGCACCCTGGCCCCGCTATGCGGAGCAGCATGGGATGTCCTGCCACCTTCACCAAGGGCTGCGCCTTCAGCTGGCACCAGGACATCACCTGCACGATCCAGCAGCCTGCTGCCTGCAGAGGCTTCAGTTCACCACCTTTGGGCTCCTTCATGGCCTTCTTTCCTGTGGATTTG